ATCTCATGCTCCATCACAGAACCATGACTGTGTTAACTAACCAATTTATGATGTTAGACAATGAGTACGGATGTGGATTTACCTGGATTAAAAGAAAGAGACCTAAAAAGCCACCAGTGGGACCATGACTCCCTGTGGTACTTCCATACTGATAAGATAAAATTCCTGAAAACCAATGACTCTGTAGTACAAGGGGTTTGGTGTAACCAGGTTGTTTGATAGGCAACGTGCATTTCCTGCCTGCCTGTTACAGAGCAGAAGAGATGGGTGACTGTTTTACCTGGAAAGCAGGAGCTCTTCACATCAATGGATAGAGAACATGAGTGATAAAACAGTCACTGTAGTGGAGAGAACTGGAGCTTGCTTGCTTGTTTGCTTGTTTGTTTGTTTGGAGGGGGGGTTTATTTGTTTGGGTTTTTGGTTGTTTGTTTTTTTTATTATTTTGGTTTTGTTTGGTTTGGGTTTTTGGGTTTTTTGGGGTTTTTTTTTTTGGTTTTTTGTGGGTTTTTTTGCCTTCCTCCCCCCCCAAATACCCATCCTGGATATCGAAACATAACAGTGGTCTCTTGATTTTGTGCAAGTTGAGTGTCTGAGGAGAAGAGGTGCCTCTGGCAGACACGAGCAGGGAGCAGCCAGCTGGTTGTGGAGGTACTTCCACCCTCCCCAAACACGTATGATGGTGCTGCCTGAGTCTGCACAGAGCTGAGTTTTGGTGTTACTGGTTAAGCAGCACAATGTCACCCTTGCTAGTAATTGTTAGTAGGGCAAACCGAGAGCTGTGCTCTGGCTAATTCTATCAGCTGTGGCTTGGATTGAGCCGAGGATGAAGAAACCAGCTGTGTAACAGTGGTGAGGGCTGGCATACAAAGGTTTCCACTGCCATTTATGAGCAGAGCTCATTCCTTTCCTAGAAGAGCTGTGGGTCACTTTTTAATATCTCTTCTGTAAAAGAGCCCTGCTGAGCTGTGCATGTGTTGATATATTTATCTGTGGGTCCTGTTCACCCCCAGAACCTTGCATGTTCAGGTGTTCTCATACAGATGGGTTGTGCATTTGTGTACACACTCAAACAAATACACAGGAACAAAACCACCTTTAACTTAACAAAGTTCTTCTGCCTGCCAACCACAAATTTCTTGGGATGCTCAGTAATTTCCAAGGCAGATCTCTGCTACCTACTGCCCAGCAAGACCTAGCAGTGATTTGTGTGATGTGCACCACGGAGGGGTGTTGCATCCACAGAGGATCAGCAGCTGCAGTATTTCTGTCAATCTTTCATTTAATTGCATTTGCTTCTTGTATGAAGAACAACATCTTCACATCACACGAGTCAAATTGACATGGTCAGGATTTGACTAGACCCATTCAGAGGGAAACTTTGATGGGGTAGTTAATTGCACCCAGGGAAAGCTGCAAAAGTAGTTTTTCATCAAGAGGTTACACTAGAACTGGGAAGGGATTATTAAAGAATAGTGCTAATTTGTGGACTGATGAACAATAAATAATTTTCTTCGTTCACACTTACTCCTAGATAATTTTTTCATCCCCTCTCTATTTACTTTTGGAGTGGGTTTTTTGATTATTAAATATGTGGAACACGATAGTATTATCCATATGACACGTACTGTTTCCAATTTTCTAAAGTTTGAACCAAAAAGATGGAGGGAATAATCAGTTTAGATTGAGGATTTTCTAGCTCTTCTCACTGAAATGAAGAAATCGTTCTCTTAATCCTGAAAAAATATTTAGTTTAATGCAGGGCTATTGTTTCAGGTGTTAACCACTATAAAGAACAAATTTGAAATGAAAACCAGCTCAGTGTTCAATTCTGTAATAATTTAGCCATCCGAAAAAAGTCTTCAAGTGTTTATGCTGGAAAATACAGGGCAGCATTTAGGAACATGAAACATTTACCAAATTTAAAAGTAGTTGCTGTTTTCTTTTTTTGAAACTGCCTTTCTTTTTTGTAGTTTATTGAGTGATGTATTCCTTCAAAAATTCAGGAAACTCTAGTGCCCAAAGCCTCCAACCAAGACTTTGATTCCAGTGTGCTGCACAAACTGTGTGTGAAAATAGACAGAGCAGACAGTAGGTGAGAAATGAAGACTTTTGGCCAGACTGTGTGATTTTTCTCCTACAGAGAGGCAGCAGAAGCAGAAAAAAAATAATCTTACCAACATCCTGGAGCAGTGCCTTACTCAGTGCTCAGTTCTCCCTCCATGGGAATGGCCACTGGGCTCAGTGATGCCACTGGGCACCTTTAAATGCCCAGAGATCTCGAATCCATCACAAAGAGGCTCTGCTTGAGGAACAAAAAGGAATTTTATGAACTCAACTGCACTGTCAGGAAGGAGAAAAGAAAGCTAAAGTTTAGAGTTTAAGACGATTTGTGGGATAGATGTCTGTTAATTGCTTAAAGATTTAGAGCACCCTTTATCCTCTGCTCCTGAAAGTTCAAGAAATAGGGTTTTCTCCTCAAAGCCCTGTTTAAAGACAACCAGTATGTTGTTGGTGGTCATATTACAGGAATGACGCTAAAGAAATTTTCTCTCCTGCTTTTGGGGATTGGAGATGTGTGGGACAAACAGATCTGGTGGTGTTTGAAAGGGTTAATTTGTTGCAATTGAGATTTCTCAAGAAGGGTTGCAGTTTTGGAAACATTCACTTGGGAAGGAGATCATGGCTCCAGAGAGAGGAACAGATGCATTCCCTTGCCTCAGAATATCACACTGTCTAGAGAGTTAGTGCACTTGTTATTTTTGTGGGCTTTTACATATTTAAAACAAAAATACTCACCCCAAACCCACATTTGCACTCCTCCCCTCTCTGCCATTGCAATCTGAAAATGTTAAAAAATCTCCAGATTCCCAGATGGCAAAACAACATCCTGGCTAGTTCTCTCCTCAGTGCATGTTGTTAATTTATTTGTTGTTCTAACCTAGTTATTTTTTTTATTTTTCCTCTCTTTGAATACCACAATTCTTTTGGTCCTTCCAAAGAATTAAGTCCTTCCATCTTTAATATGAATAAAGGGGAAGTCCAGGCCATTGCAGGGTGGGAGACAGATGTTGTAGGAAGTGCTATACCACTGCTTTGATCTCGGTGTAAGCACCATGTCCAATCTAAAGCTGTGAACACAGGCTGAAACAGTCCCTTTATGGATCCAATTCTTTCTGTCAGAGCTTCTTTATTATCCTTGCTCTCTGTTTCCACATTCATCTCTGCTACTGGCATATAACTTATCTTCCTTTAGTCCCTTACTTGTCAGTTTTCTGTTTGCTTCTGAATTGTGATCCTGGATGATCCCCCTTAGCAAGTTCTGAATATTTTTTTTTTATGATTTTCTCGTATCCTGATGTAGCAAGTCAGAAAGGCTGGTTAGGTCTCAGCTGCTCTCCAGCATGTCCCAGAGTGCAGAACTTCACCCAGTTCTCACTGCAGTGAGCTTTGATTCCCCAAAAGATGACCAACCGTCTGGGCAGCTCCCTCCAAACTTCTTGTCATCTTTCCCCTTCTCTGGACCTTTTTCATCCTGTTCCTTATTGACCTCAGTTTGCAAAGCCCTTTGCTCTTCCCTTTCTCCCCAGTCTAGGTGCTCGTCCTTTCTGAAAACCTCACTCCTTCCTACCAGTGGAAAATGAGACACTGGCCTATCTGTTCCTCCTTGTTCCCTGAACTGTCCATGCATAGCTCCATAAATCTCCTCTGCTCTCCATGCCTTTCTCTGCTCTACTGTCCACCCCATCCCATCTGTGTGAGTGGCTCAAAGATGTGTTGCCCCTGTGCCTTCTCCCAGGCTGGGTTCCCAAGCCCTCTCTACTCTCCCCACTCTGCCTCTTCTGTGGGTTGTTGCTCCAGATTCCTTTGTTCCAGATCAGGTTGGATGGGGCTTGAAGCAACCTGGTCTAGTGGAAGGGGGTTGGAATGAGATGATCTTTAAGGTCCCCTCCCACCCAAACCTTCTGTGATTCTATGATTACTGCAGATTCCTTTTTTCCGACACCTCTCTTCTATCGGATCATCTCCCTTATCCCAGCTTTTATTATTTCTCTTTTTTCTCAAGGTCTGCGGGATCCTTTCTAAGGGATCCCATACTGCAGCCACTGGACTGTGTCCCTTCTTCCCCCTCCCTGTCCAAGCATCTCTGTTCGTCCTCAGTTCCACGCAGCAGAGGCAGGAATTGCTTCGCTCCACAAAAAGCCGGAGGAGTTCTGTTCCTCTGATGGCTTTTCCTGTTCTCCCTGGCTTCAATTTGCAAGCGAGTGTTTTTTGCAAAAGTGCTCATCCCCGGAGCTGACAATAAAACTGTCTCTGCGCCTCAGTGCGTGTGTGAGAGGCAGAGAGAGGGAGAGAGGGAGGGACATCCAGCAATACATGGCTCTGGCAAAGTGAGGCGGCATCGGGGAGCTGCGATTCCAGGGGACGCTGGCGAAGAGACACGAGCCCCTCACTCCGGGCTCAGCCTGATCCCATTGGTTCCCGAGCTGCTGTTTTAAAGCAGGGAAGAGCTCGGAGGGCTGAACTGCTCAGCCAGACGCAGATTCTGAGCCAAGTTGTCAGCACGCTGCGAGGAAGAGCCTCACACACACGAGACTGCAGGGTGTCCGCAGCTTGATGCGCTTTTAGTTCCAGAAAGCGAGAGAGGAGAGGACACACACACACACAGACACAAAAAAAAAAAAAAAAAAATCAGAAAAGGGGCAAGGAGCCTCATCCAGTCCAGCAGTCCCGGGGGGAATAATGGATGTGACCATATCTCAGTTCATCTTAGAAGAATTTGATGTCAACTGCAGCCTCCTGGATCGCTTACAAGAGACTTTTTTAGAGAGTTCCTCAGTCCCTTTCCTGGGCTTTGATGGTAGGAAATGTTACCTGGTGCAGGGCTCGGAAAAGCTTTAGGAGTGCTGGGATTCGGTTTGTTTTGTGATGCAAAGCGTGTCGCTTTTGTGCTTTCTCAACCGCTCCTTTCTCCCTTCCTGTCTCCCTTTTTAACGCCAAAGGTCCCTACTGCAATGCCACCACGGATCAGATCGGGACCTGCTGGCCCAGAACCTCCGCGGGGGAACTGGTGGAGAGACCCTGCCCGGAATTCTTCAATGGGATCAAATACAACACCACGAGTGAGTACAAACTCCTTTCCTTCTCCCGCAGATCTGGTGTTGAGAAGGCGCCTGGGGAGACCCAAAATATATTTTCCATTAAAAGAAAAAAAAAAAAGAAAATTGTTTGTCTGGGAATCAACATTTCCTCCACATTCCAGCCTGTCTATTCAAAATTCCTGCCTGGAATGATGCAGATTTCTCAAAGGCACAGACTTGTGGACACTGTTTCCTCTTTACTTAAGTGTATTTAGGTAGATCTGGGAAAAAATATGCTCTGCAGCGTAGGGAGGGTATGTTGTGCTGTGTGTTTGTGCATGTGTAGCTATGTATAGCCGTATAGATGTATTTGTAGCAGTGCTTCAGCCATCTGGATAATTAAAGATCCTCTGGCTCCTGAAGGACTTAAGCTTATCACCTAAGAACTGTATTTTGAGAGGAGTGTCCCTTTTTGAGGCTGTTTGTGTGAACAGGGGGACAAACCAGGCTGGAAGTTGTGTGTAACAAACAGAAGGCTGAGGTCTGGAATCTGTTTAGTAACTTCATCAGCTGGTGAGGCTGGAGTGGCTGCATCAGCACTGCAAGGGAAACAGGAGAGGAAATTAGGAGGCAAATAATACTGAAAGCAAGGGAGAACGGAGGCTCCTTAGAAATCTCCTGGAACTGATGCTTTATTCTTCGAGGTAAACAGTCCTGATGAGTCACTAAAAATTTATTATTCAGGCTGTCAGACCAGGGCACTCATTTCCTTTCCCTTGTCTGTCAATGCTGTTTGGACCTTTCACCAGGAGTTTTTAACATATTAGTTCCGACTATGTGTACCCATTTGTTTGCCACTCATTTTTTTTCAGACTATTCAGTGTGGTTTTGACTGTAGGGACATTTTACTCTGAACTGTTGCTGGGGTGTCGATGGTCTAATTTGCAGGTACTGTTAATTTTGTGGGGTGAGCATTCTCTCTAAGTCCCGTAAAAGAATGACCCTGACATTTTAGATCTGATTTTTTAACTTGTTGAGAGTGAATCTATTCTTTGCCCAGCTGTAGATGTCAAGGGTCAGATAAGTAGCCAAAAGTTTGGTGTATTTTCTGTGTGAAACAGAACCCTCTGCCAAATTTGCTCTTAGGGACGAGCTTCTGCCACCTGAGAGTTTGAGCAGAGTAAGGAGGTTCCCTCAGAGAACTGCAAAATCATCCTCAAGCCCTCTATTCTCTGACCTGTGTTCTTTGCAATAAAATTGGTGAGAATGTGGAGGGGGCTGGGTGATGCTGTCTTTGATAAGAGCAGGTATTTCACTACCTTTACAAGTCTCAGTTGAGACCAGAAGAAATTTTCTGAGGATTAAGTACAGCTCAGACAAGAGCAAGTGTATCAGAACAAACCCTAAAAGAACAGAAAAGGTACCTCAAAGAACTGTGGCTTCTTTTTTTTTATTTTTCCATTTCCTTTTTTTGGTGGGGAGTATCAGTGTTTCCTTTGCCTGATTTTTGTTTCTCCAAAAGGGAAGGAAAAAAAAATGCATTACGGAGGTTTCCTTGTTTATATCGTAAACACAGTGAGGAGAATTTAAATGCTTTTCTTGTGCATGGAAGAAAAGAAAGTCCTAAGTATCACAATTTGTTTTTATGAACTCTGTTAATGTCTTCACTAGTTCATCAATGACTTGATTTAAAGTTCCTCCCTGCTCATTTCCCTCTCAGTGGTGGGTAATGCTTATACTACAGTGCTAATATGTTCTCTTAAAACAATGGCATGTTAATTCAATTAAAGACTGATGAAAATATGTTATTGAAATGCTGAAGCATTATTTTGCCAAAGTCTGGGGAAATGGACATTTTTTCTCCTTCCAACACAAAATGTGAGTAGTCCTGTTGAGAAAATATGTGTCCATGTGTGGTGCCCAGATGCAGTAGAGTATGTAGTGCAATAAAACTGAAGTACACTGAAACCACTGTAGCCAGTTACAGTTGATCTTGGACTCTTCCATTCATGTCATTCCTCCAAGTTGTAGCTCAGAAAACGAAGGGAAGGATGTCAAAATTTGCTGAACTTTTACAATCAGTAGCTTTTTGGGAACAGTTGGTGATTAAGGCTTGGGAAAGCAGTAGGACAGCAGGTTAAGGTTCAGGCACAGAGGTGCAATCTCTTTGGGGATTTGAAAGATGTAATTAGTGCATGCAGAACACATCCAGAGTTTGGGAATGTCAAATACTGGCATGGCCTGACCACTTGCACGATTTCACCAAGTCACTTTGTGGGTGACGAGAGGGCCATTTGTAATGAGGCTCCTTGTGCTGAAAATCTCGCCTGTGCACCCTGTGTTGAGGATAAAATAAGCACAGAAAACTGATAAAAAAGAGGGAAATGGATCTTGCAGATCTCAGAGGTGAATAATACAGCTCGAAATGAAGGTCTGATAGGGAGATGGCTTGGATCAACATAAGATTTCTGCCTAGGACATGCAGTGCCGTTTTGTCCTGTTTTGTTTTGCATTTTGATGAGGCAGAGGGAGAAATGATGGTGTGTATTGTAGTGATTTTTTTTTTTTTGAGAGCAAAATCAGACAAATTTAAATAAAGCACCTTGCAATCTCTTTCTTCTACTAAAGGCTTATCCAGCTGCAGGTTGTAACTCAGCTGTTTATTATACTGTCAGGCATCCTGTGTTTGTGAGCTGCCACCTTTTAGGAACTGCAGCGTATTTTTATATTGATTTTGCACATCTGTGAGTATTTTTCCTCATTAGAATGCATATAGAAATTCTGGATCCATTTCAGCGGTTTCTTTCTTGTTTCTAGAAATTAGTCTCAAATATTCCAAGTTCCTACCAACTTCCTAAAAGTAGTCCATCAGCTGGAGGGAATGAACCCAGTAGCATTCCCTGTAAAGGAAAGATTTTGCATTGTAGACACCAGCAGTTCCAGACTGAAAAGTGCCCAAACTGTGTGAAAAGCTTATTTCAGACTCAGGGAAGCCCAAGATGCTGATCCATGGCAGAGTTTTGGTCCTCATGGGGCACCTTATTGTAGCCTCTGTGCAGGCAGTGTGTGGAATTCAAGACAAAATGTGATAAGTAAGTTCCTCCACAGATCAGCTTTGGGTGGACCTGCCCTGGCTTTGTGTCCATCTCTTCACCTCTCATGCTTTGATGTTTGCTCTAACTCAGAACCTCTGAGTGCTCAGAGGGGGATTGCTATCAAACCCTGCAATATGCCAGCAAAATTTAATGAAAGACTATTTGAGGCAAAAAACTTAAGAATAAGCCCTGGTGCTTAAAAAATCCCCTCCTGTTTGCCACTCTAGAATAAACTGTTTGCATAAAATATTTCCATTCCAACTGCAAGAACTTCCCGTGGTGATTTTGTGCCTTTGCCTGTGTTTCTGTGTGTGTCTCATGGGAACTGCTGAGTGACTCAGATAAGTTTCAGCTGGATTTGTAGAACTAAGTCTGTCAGTCTGTGAGTATTTCTCATCCCTGACACTTTGTTATTTTGGTGATATTTTCTTTTTCTCCCTCTTTATTTGGGAAATAAAGTCATGTTGACAAAACACGCTCTGGTTACCCTGCAGTATTATTTGTGAATACAGACAAAACGTTCTTTGACCAAGGATCTGAAAATTATGCCATCCACTTACAACTTCACAGTTTTGTAGCCAAGCTTATGTATTATTTTCAAAGGAAAAAAAAAATTTAAAAAAAAAAACAGGAAAAAATGTCTGTGTTGGTGCAGTGTGTGACTGTGCACTTGTCTCTGCTCAGGTTCTATATTTAGCTAAAAATGACAATAACATTACTGCCCTCTAGATGCGTTTATGCTTTGACAGTGTGAAGCTTTTATTCATGTTTTAGGAAACAATTCACTTATTAGGATATCCTGAAGCTTGATTAATTCAGCAAATGGACCATAATGTGTCTGTTTGCTGTTTGCTAAAAAGTGGTGCTACATGAAAGCATGCTACAGGCTAAAGTATGCCCTTATTAGCTCTTTCCCTACAAATTGTGCTTTGCAACGGGAAAATCCAGGATTAAATGTTCGCCTGATGGACAGAAAGAGTTGACTTTTGTAGCCTCAACTGTCTGATTTGAGTCTACAACCCCTGGTGTAGCAGAGGGGTTGAGACCCATCCGTTGTGGGCTCCTCCCTTGCTCTGTGCTGGTTGCAGGCAGGAGCTGGAAGCATTGGAACCTGGGTATTTCCAATTATGTATCAACAGCTAATTCAAGTATTTAAGCTCTAATACAAGTTGGTGGAGGTCTAAACAGTGAATAAAGCCCAAAGAGTTACTCAGCTCAGCCCAGTTCAGCAGCCCCTGCAGAAGCTCTGGTGGTGTTTGATATGTCTCAGAGGTAATTTGCCTGATATCTGGTTCATGTTTCAGAGGGCTCAGGCCTTGTGCAGGTTTGGTTTTTGTCTTCCAGGCCACACAGGTGTTGCAGATGCTCCATGACAAGTTATCTCATGCCCATGTTTAGGCAGCTGAATTCATCCCTGAGTGTCTGTTGAGCTGAGCTGAACCCACACCTGGGGACTGAGATCAGATGCTTCTGTGATCAACAGGAACAAAATGTCACTGTACCTCTATAGCTCTGCAAATCCCCCTCTCTCTCGCAGTGTAGGTTTTTGACTGAAATAACCACTTCAGATGAGTGTTTGGGGTATTGTGAAAAGCATCCTCACCTTTTCCAGGGCCTGTGCTGCTGGAAACAGGTGCATAAACACTGCTAACCTTGCACTGATGGGGATTTTGTTCCTCCTTCCCTACTCCTTGTTCTGAGGGTGTGTGCCCCACCTTTTCCTTGGCCCTATAACCAACTGCCTGTTGAGAATGATTTGAGAGGGTTGGTGACTTGGCAACTGGTCTATTTTTCACGTGGGTGGACATGGGAGAAAGAGCCACTGGCACAAGTATCGCCGTCGTACCTGTTGACATGTCTTACTCCCCACTGAAAGAAAAATTCCAGCAGTCCATTGTTGCCTTGTCTTGAACAGAGGGAAATTATCTTTTCTATGCTGATGGAATG